TATAAATTTATTAATAACCATTCATATTGAAAATGTTTTCAATCCCCCCAATGGCTCAGCAGTAAGTCAAATCAAAGATTTATAGAGGCAAAAAGTAAGTTTCAATATCCGCGGTGGGTACAGCATAGATAGTCCATTGTGTATCTTTGTGCTTAAAATATTTTTGAGTCTTTTTTTTATAATTTATTACTAAAAATATTAATCATATTACAATACTTGTGAATTATAGATTTTTGTATTTACTTAGTTACCAAGAAAATTTTACTTAAGTAATAATTTATAAATATGCTTTTTATAATCTATTTATAAAAATTACTTCATAACCTATGTTTCACCATTCCATTTACATTAATGGTAAACTATCTTTATTGCACTGAAAAAAAATGATTTTTTATTCTTTTTCTAGGATTTCACCAAAAGAATGAGTACTTCAGACTTCAATATTTGCTATAAGTTTTCTCATTGGGTTTAATAATTATCTTCTTAAGTTGTTAGTCATCATTAAACCCAACTGATTTAGATATTACCAAAAATCATTGTTCAAAATGGTAAGATTTTAATTTTTACTTGATACAAATTTAATTACGTAAGCATGTGCTAAACAGTTTGCTCTCGGATAAATAGTTTGTAAACCCTGCATTAAAAATATGTCTGTATGCTTGTTTTTAAGTCAAATTTTTGTTGGTGAATGTGGAGGATTTTCACATTTTTTTTAAGGTTATTAATATATGTATATTTTTGGAAATAACATTTGGATACATTTTGATGAAGCTTATTTCCATGTACTCTACAGTATAAGAATAGCATCATGTCTAATGTGTATGTACTAATATTTGTGATCGCAACTTAAGTCTTACATGTGACCTAGTATAGAATTCTGTCATTAATGTTTGATAACTTAATTTACTTTTTTCATGTGCAATTTAATATTTACCTACAGTGCATTATTTTATCCTGTACTCAGTTAAATCATATCTGAAAGGTTTTAGTTTTCTAAATAAGTATAAAGACTAGTCAGTTATGAGATCAGCCACTTTTTCAGAAACATTTGTTTTCATATAAACATTGTGTAAACACTACATGTAAGTGATTTCATGATAGTTCTTGAAAATTAATTTGAATATCTTTTCATTACATGTAAATACATGTATTGAAAACTTGTTCTGTCTGAACTTGAATCAACTTATAAGTAACTTTCTTTTGACTTTTTAGGGTTTAGAATATTGGGTTGCAACTTTACAAACATACAGTACTGAGGGGAGACCAACAACATATACAAATAAATTATTTTGTAGAATAACTTGTCAACTTCAATTAGCTTTAAAATATTTGTATTAATTACTTTTAATCAGCATTATCCTTTTTTTTCTGGTTAAGACATTTGTCAATTAACCTTATTTGCATTCTGGTATGGAAAATAGTTATATGATGGGAAAAGTTTATGTTAACTTATCAATTTCAATTATTTCATGGACTTTAAAAATATTAATTGTGTTACACCCTTGGTTTCACTCAGAGCCAAAGCTCTGAGCTACTTATACTGCCCACTGCAAAAAAGTAATTGTTGAGAATTTCAGTCATGCTAAGAGCTGCTCAACAATAATGTAAATAATGGTAAATCTACATTTTTATTCTTTAAGTTACATCACATTTTGAAATGTGGATGTCAGTGAGATTAATTCCTAACAATTCAGTGTAGAATATCCTGCTTCCAAAATAAAATTTGCATCAACATTATTCATGTCTGTTCTCCCATCAATTCAAATGTGAATGTTGAGCCTTGCCTGCATGCAGAGCTTTTCAAATGCAGTGGGGGAAGCGGCTGCTATAAACGGGAGACAGTCACCATGGTTCGCAATATATATATGTATAAAATGTTTTTCCCCATTTGCTGGAAAGAGGTATATGATAAAGGGTCTGAAGATCTTAACACTTTCCATTTCTTTCTTGGAATTCAACTGCTAAAATGAAACAGGTATCTCAAGCAAATATATAGTCTACAAGTACCACATAAAAATTTTAGTGGCAAAACATTTTTTCTGGCTTGCATCATTCGTGCTCACTTTAGTTATTTTAATTTTCTGATCTTGTGCCTTAATTAGTTGTTCTTATATTGATTTACAGTGGAATACTGTGTTAAAAATTTGTGATGCTTTATTAAAATCTTTAAATAGGTAATTTTAAATTTCATACTGTTTGATTTTTATTTGAATTCTGTAAATGAAAAGCAATCATTGTTGATATTTTTATTTACTATAGTCATCTGACCAAAGCTCATTAAGAGCTCTCGAGTCCTTGATGACAGAGTTCTTCAGTCCTTCTACAACTAATGGCAGAAAACGAGAAATAGGTGAGGTTGTGCACGCTTCTAAAAAAGAACTTTTTTTATTGAAAATTTTCAGTTCTAGAAATGAGGAGATAGGGTTATTTATTCAGAATATATTATTCTAAATTTGGTACAGAAAACAAATTTAGTTTGCTATCTGAAATAATTTTATTTTGTTCATGAATATTAGCTGCACAGAGGTTCTGTAAGGGTGGTCAAATTAGTATAAGGGGAAGTTTAGATATCATAGGAACAAAACACAGATATAACAAGTTTTTATATTTTCTTTGGGTATTACTTTTTCCTGTAAATGTTTTTGTATTTATATCTGTTTAAAAGGTATAGAAATTGTCTTTGATGACAAGACACCATGTAAGCTTAGTTAGGTTTAGTATATGTATTAGGTGATAGCAAAATATTCCTGTGTCTCAAATTCTTAGTTATTAAATATTATTACAAAATCCATCACATCTAAACAATATATTGAAGTAAAAGTGAAAGAAAGTACTTGTAAATTGGATGGTATTATTAATTGAAATAAATTCCTCATATTGGTTGATGCTATAAATACTCCTTTTTATGTTTTTCTTGTAAAAGTTGAGAGTTTTTTTTAGATAGATGAACACTTATTGCTTATATTAACAGCTCTTTTTTTATTTTATTAAAAATATTCCTTCTAGCACTAATTAGATATAGTCAACATTTTCAAACATGTTTCAACTGTAAGTGCATCAACTTCAAGTCATATGTTGTAAATGTGCTGGCAATATGATGTATGTTATTCCTTTAACCCTAGATCTATGGGGGGGGGGCAGTGTGTCACAACCTTTTCAGAGTTGCATTTACAGTTTAATTAAACAACTTTATTGTAAATTTATGTTAACAAACTTGGCATTAAAACACAGTTTATGATTCAAGTGCTAATATTATATAAGTTTTAATTTCTTAGTTTTAAAAGCAACTTTTAAATAGATTCTCAATCTTCACTCCTCTGTATCACATGAAACTCCCAATTGCCCATTTAGGTTTTCATTCTAACCGTAATGATATTCTGAGTTTGTCATGAATTACACACTTATACTATAGATACTGCTAAGCTATAATGTAAATTTTTAGCCTCCAGGCTTTGCAGTTTACTAAGATATAGTCCCATGTTAAAAGTAAGTTTACCAACTAACAATGCTAAAATCTAGAACTTAATTCTCTGTGATGGACAGTGTGCAGGTAGTTCATTGTGGCTTTATGCTAAAACAAACATATGATAACATATTGAGATATTAACAAGAAAGTCAAACCCACATGCCACAACCCTCTTATCCATTTATCAAAAAAATTTAGAAACTACCTCTGACATGTGCTATTGAATTATTTATAACTAGATGGAGTACCCATCCATTGGACAGGTGAAATAAAAACTCATTTGCAAAAAAAGGGTTGGAAATTATGCTTCTATTTTTTATTTTCTTAACTTATAAACATTAAAAGTGCAATAAAAATACATAAAGGTACCAATACTGAAAAGAAAGACATACTGTTTTGAAGAATTTATCAATATGAAATTAGATGGAGGGGGAGTTCAACTGCACTGATCTTCTTCATGTCAGCCTGTATCACTGTGTTAAGTTGGGTGCTGATTGATCAGTAATGTGGAAATGTATAAGGAGCAAATACACCCACATATTGTCATTTATTTATATAGAAGATGGTGGTCCAGCCTCCCTTCATGATGTTCCTCATGTCATCCTAGATCATTAAGTTTTGTGCTGATTGTTCAATAAATGCAGAAATATGTAAGGAACAGATGGCTGAAAAGTGCAAACAAACAGACATTAACTTAGATTTATATATTAGATAGAAAGAAAAGATTCTGCTTTACTAACTATTTTACAAGAATAATTTGCTAATGCTCCTGGTTTTAAAATATTTAGCCTCAGTTTCATTGTTTGCCTTTGTACTGTTCATCTCATCCAGTTAAGGGAATTTTTACCCCTTTATAGCTTGGTTAGAAAGCCACTTAAATTCTAATAGCTTTAGAACATTCTTTTTTTTTTCTGCATGTTAACATTTGAAATGAAAAATATCTTGCAACATTAGCATTGTTACAAAAAAGTAGGCTTATACATTGCTTTGGTGGTTGAGAGCTAAAGGCTTGATCTCCAGATGAAAGTACTAAATTTCTTATTTTCTAAAGTATATGTTTTATTTATTGTTATAAAAGTAACTAAAATGTAAAAATTAGAAACTTGTTAGGTTAGATAAAAAAACTTTAGATGGAAAAACTATGTATTCAGTATTCACAGAAACCGTTTTGTATGTTTGTATGATTCAATATTTAGTAAGTATATTATTATGTTATACCTTTCAAAGGCATCTCTAATGACGACATGTTAGAAAATCATACTTATGGATATAATTCTAAGCTTATCACTTATTATTGTTAGTGAAAACACATTATAGTACACACATTGTGAGGCATGTTGTAATATGACCATGTGTGCTGGTAACTTGGTTGTTTGTTTACACAAAACTGTACTGATGTGATATTTGTCTGTCAGTGAACTCTGACAGGGTCTGAATACAGCTGTAAAGTAATAAAACTAAATGAATCTAGGTTTTAAAAGTCTGTTAGATTTGGCTGTAAGAATAAATTGTGTTACTGTCTGATGAAATATGCTGTCATTCTAGAAAGAAAAAAGGTTAATTTAGATTTATTTTGTATTCTTCAACTTTCCATTTTACTCTATATTGCTGAGTTTACAACAGTTAGTGTTAGGGTAGATAAAGTAAAATATAAAGTTTTATTGAAAAAACTTTTTATTCATTTAGGGGGTTCTAGAGGTATTTTTTATTTTTAATATGAAATCACCTTTTACTCAGACTAGTCAAAGTCTGAGCTTTACTGACTCCATAAATTTAGGGATGAATCTTTACTAAAAATCCTTCATTGAAAGTTCTGATGTTTTTGTATACAAGAGACTTGTAATGTATACTAAAAGCTTGCCAAATTTTGTGAAGATATACTTAGTAAATTTGGAATTATAGTAATTATTGTTATGTATAGCTTCACAGAAACGGGTTGGTGCAGTACACCAATACTATTTACATAAGGTTAAGTTAGTGTTTCTTCTAAAGTAAGTAATTGCAGGTATCCATTGATTGAAAAAAAAAAATGTGTGTGTCTATACATTTATATATAGTGATCATAATATGTGTTAGTATAAACTTTATTGAAAGAAACAAAGCAGACTTGAAATAAACATTGAAAATATTGTATGAAGTTTGCGACAAAGCATGTAAATGATACTGCAGACATGTGGCAGAAGGTTTTGTGGTCAGACGAGACAAAAATTAAAGCATTAAGTCTGGTGCAAGCCCAACACAGAACATCACCCAGTCAACACCAACTCAACTGTCAAGCATAGTGGTGGCAGCATCATGTTATGGGGATGCTTCTCATCAGTAGGAACTGGTAAGCTTGTCAAGATTGAGGGGAGGATTGGTGGTGGAAAGTACAAGCGAATCCTAGAGGAAAACCTGCTCTAGTCAGCCAAGAATCTAAAACTGGGTCGAAAATGTACATTTCAGAAGGACAGTGACATGGAGCACAAGGCCAAAGCCACACTGGAGTGGTTTCAAAAGAAGAAAGTGAATATCCTGAAGTGGCCCAGCAAAGTTCTGACTTGAATCAAATAGAAAATTTATTATGAGACTTGACGATTGCAGTCCATCAATGAACTTGTCAGAATTGGAGCAATTTTACCATGAAGAATGGCCAAAAATTACACCATCCCATTGTGCAAAGCTGGTAGAGACCTATCCAAAAAGACTTACAGCAGTTATTGCTGCGGAAGGTTCTTCCACCAAGTACTGACTTAGGGGATGAATACATATGCAATCAGCGAATTTCATTTTATATATTTTCTTTGCAGGTTTTGCTGACATTCAACCTTCTTCACATTTAACAGCGTTAAGTTTGATCATTAGGGTTTTGAATAAAAACAAGTTCATTAAAAATTGTTTACATTATTTGTATATCATCAAAATGTGACATTATTGGTAGGGGGTGAATACTTTTGCAAGGAAGTGTAGCTTGGGGTGGGGTGGGGGGTTAAGAGAGAATACACCACATGTGGTTTCTCACTATCTACTAGACTGAATAAGGAAATGAAAAATAAGTGTTGGTACTGGGATGCACTATTGAGAATATATTTGAAAACTAAATACATTATTGATAAATTTTAAGTTGTATCCAAGGCTTATCAACCATATCAAAGTACCTTTTAATTACCTTACATGACAAAATTTTATGTAGTACTCATGAATTTTTTATGCATTCAAAGTGCTACAGTAGCATGTAAGCAGCTAGTGTTTAGTCATAGGTTTCAAAACTCCACATACATCTGTAGTAAAAACCAAACAATTGGTCAGACATATAGCTTGTTTACCAGTAATTGTTCTCTGTAATAAAGCTTTTAAATTGTAACAGAGTGTACATGTAGAACTATGATCTGAAAATGTATGTATGTGTCAGTCAATCAAATTTACCACTACAATCTCCACTGCAACTGCACAGTGCTGTACAAGTGAGATTTGCCAGACAGCATTTACATGATGATTTGTAAACATTCCCTGATTTCAGCCACGCCTGATCAGCTCTTATTCTTCTTTTGAGCTTATGAATATTTAATTGGAATGTCAAAAGCAGTAGCCCACTATTTTCCAAATCTTGGGTTTGATATTATGGAAAAATAAAAATGAATATGCCTTTGGATACACCTAACTCAAAAAATATCAGATTCATTATTTGTTGCATAATTTTTAGAAATGAACATTGTTCTCTAGAAAGTAATCTATGCTAACATAACAAAACCATGTAATAACATACATTTAGTAAAATTCAACATTTATTTACAGTTGCATGTAATTTAACATTAGTTTGATATAGTTTGAAATGGTTGAAACAATTTCATATTTTATCTTTATAGAGGAACTTCTAAACAACTTCAGTTACCAGGAAGGAGCTTGGAGGCACTCTCTTTATTTTATGTCAAACACTAGGAATGAATATGTAATCATGTATTGTTTAACAATGCTAGAGGTAGGTTGAACTCATTTTTTTGTATTTCATATGCTTGAATAATTGTAGATTATGAGATTATTTTAATTTTTATGTACTTCATAAGTAAATTCTATGATACTAAGTTTTTTTTTTTACAAATCAGATATATCATCTAAAATTGAAGTTTGATTTTTTAAAAGCTCCATCCCTTGTACAAATTTTGATTTGTATCTGACTCTCCTGTGCTGTTCATTGTTTACTTAGAGCTGTGTGTTTGATCTTTCAAAACAGTTTTAACATTTTTGTGTGTGTGTACCTTATTATTCTTTAATCTTGAAAATAAGTATGTATTTATTTTTTCTAGCAACTGATCAACAAACGCTGGGTTGGAATGCTAGGTCAGGATAAAGGGGAGATACGAAGCACTTTGTACAGATTTCTGCTCAGCCATCACTCCAGTGTACCTCCCTTTATTCGTAACAAGTTAGGAAAGTTAGTGGTTGATATTGGTCGGTTAGATTGGCCTCATTTCTATCCTGATTTTTTTACTAACATATTACAGGTGAGCTTATATACATTACACAATTACATATGCAGGTCTAGAGTTTACTGTAATAAAGTTTGTGATATACAAGTATCTGAATGTTTGTGATTTATATGCATAAAATTATAATTTTTTTCCTTATTTAGTTCAAGTTTTTTTTAATGTTTATGAGGTTTATTTCATTTTTGTACTACTTGTAACTTATACAGAGTATGCAATGTGTGTGTGGTCTTACTCAGAATTCAATGTTTTTGGATTATACTATTGATACACCAACAAAGCTATGTAAGCAGAGTATTCAAATTCTTAAAAAATACACATGAAAATAAACAAAAAAATTGCTTACATTTAAAGCTGTTTCTTGGATTTTAGGGATAAGTTTCTTGAGTGTTTTGTACTTCAAAAATAAAAAATCACTGAGATACCATTTACCCCTATCTCTATGGGTCTTCCTATGGTCACTAGTCAAAGGCCATGTTATTGCATTTGTAGACTCACATTCAAAATGTTATTGCACTACCATTTTATGAATGTATGTGAATAACTTTGGTATCAAATTGTAGATTATAATTCAAATTTTAATATTATACATTGGTTAATTTCTTAATTTAAAAGTAAATATTGAAAAAAAATCCTAAATATCGATTTTTGTGTGTCACATGGGTATATTGAATGCAGCATTGGTTCAATTTAGTTGTTTGTGATGTCCAAGTACAAATTCTATAGTTTACTATGAATTAGGAACTCAAATTACCGATATTGACGAGCTAGAATATAAAATAAGAACCTCCTCTATTTTCTTTTTGCTGAGATATTGCTACATTTACTGAATCAAACACAGTGGCCCTATCCACCTCTCATCCATTTTTGGAAAGACTTGCTTATGTACACCTACTTCTATCTATGATGTGTGAATAATCAATCAAAATCTCAGAATATTCCCAAAGTGGCTTTCTCAGCATATCTGAAATACTTAAGCCTCAAACTCATTCTTTTTATGCTAGGTTCCAAGCTCAAAAGTTCATATTTTTTTAGATTCAAATATGGCTTAATTACTAAGTTTGATAAAAAATATAGTGGAATTCTGTGGTATTGATATAGGGCAAAATTCGATAAGGCTTAGCAACCTATGGCAAGAAGCAAATGAGTACAAAGTTCTTAACTAGAAGAGATAATTATTTTCTATAATTCTTTATTTACTGTTCTATGTTTAAGAAAAATAACTGAAATTTAAGAACTTGTTTGTGAAAAGTAATAATGTATGTACATGTATAATGTACTAAAACTGAAATGTGACTGTATTTTACAAAATACTAGTCCACTAGAACACAACCAAGATGGGTCACTTTGTAAAGGCCAGTTTTATACTCTTGGAAACAGTAACATAAGTGCATGTGCATTGCAACTTCTATAGTTTTAGCCAGGTATGGCTGAAAGGTCAATATAATAAGAATAATAAATATATATGAATGTATAATGTTATGAAATTTAAGCTATTTAGACTAAACATTTGTGTTTTCGTGTTATAATTTGTAGTCATTATGGAATGAGAAAAGCATAATTTATATTTATTTCCTAATTTTTTATGGTGGTTACGAGGTTGGTCAAATTGACCCAACCCGTATAGAGATACAGCAGTGAAAATAACAAAATAACAGATAAAATATAAAGTTTTTTCTAAAAGAACATTTGATAATTATCTGGAGGTTATAAAGATATTGCATGTGAAATTTGAAAATGTTCAGATGCATAAAAGTATTTTTAATCTTAAAATCAATATTACTTTGCATGTTGGATAGTCTACATTCTGAAAGTAAAAATTTCTTGGGAAAATCTTCAATTAAAAAATCTTAATACTTAATTTAAAAACCTGATATTTTGTGTACGAAAGCCTTGTAATGTTTAATAGTAAAATACATGTACATTATCAAAAGTCAGAGCATAATTACTCTCATGGATACTTTTGTAAAGGTAGGGTTAACCCTTTTGCCACAGGCAGGTCAAAAAGCACAAGTCATGACATTTTTAGAGTTATTTTCAAAATTGTATTAAATAACTTTACTATTATTTCTGATTTTACAACTTTTCATTATACTTTGATTTGTCTACTGGCTGAAGAATAAAATATAAACTTTTACAATGAAAAAGGTTAATATTTACATACTTGGTTTTAATGATTACACAAATGAAGTTTGAGATTTTTGAGACTAAAAAAACCTTTTCAATCTTAACATAAAAATCACTTTGCTCTCAGACTAGTAAAAAAAAAAGATTTGATTTATTCATGAACAAATTGTAAATAAAAATACTTCATTAAAAATAGATTTTTTGTGTACAAATGACTTGTAATGTTTACTAAAAGTCAGCCATATTTTCTGAAGATACACATACTGTATTAAAATTTATAGTATTAAAAACTATATACAAGTAAAAATGGCCTTGTGGTTGAACACTGGGACTGATTCCTTATTGAAATAGTTAATAAATGCTATTAAAAAAAACGTAATTTTTTCGCCATCATAGTAAAAAGATGTACATTGTATCATCTTTATGGTGCAATTCTTGTAATTGAAGTTGTATTAACATTAGACTAAGGTCAAATATTGCAGTTGTCAGTCTAGTTAGCCTGGGTTACCAGGACATGAAAATAGAACAAAGTGTAGAAGTGTGCACTAATAAGGTTGTTTTGCTGAAATAAGTCCTCTAGCATGTCCTGTAGAGATTCAGATGGTTTACCAATTGGCATGGTATAGTACTTTTTTATTATATTCAAATAAATCTTGGATAATAGAGACAGATAAAAAGAATTGAACCCACTTACTGAAAGAAGATGCGTGTGTTTTTTTTTGTTTTTTTTTTTGAGGTGTCTTCTCAAAGGTGTTTACCAATCATGCAGTTTTGGAGCAAAAAGCAATTTGAGTAGGCAGTACTTTAAAACTTATTGCAGTATTATCTGATGTATCATCCTTAATATGGACTATAATTTATGTATTTTTTCAGTATGACAGAAACACCATCTAGTTTGGTTTATTATTATTGTTGGAGAAGCAAGGATAAAGAAAATCATTGCATCTGGCTTTGAATGGAAAGATATCCTTCATGTAGAACTGCAAGAGAGGTTAACCCTATTGAGATGACGCCACTTTTAAAACCCTTTCTGCACGTGTTATTGCATTACATTCAAAGTTTAATTAAATCATGTCACTCTCAATGTATTTTAATGAAATTATTATTATTATCAAGTATGTTATAATTCAGCTTTATATTATCCAAGTTTTTATTCATTTATTTCAAAAGAAACCTCTAAAACAATAATTAAAAACTAGTTTTTTTTGTACAGATGCTATCATAGTTACAATTATTAACTTTAAGAGCTAATATAGAAGAAACTGTGTGTGTGCACTTTAGATGTTTTGATTCAGACGTTGTATACAGGCTGTTTACAAGTAATTTGAGAACATTCAAAGAACTTGTCCTTGCTGAAACCATTGTAAAAAATTACTTGGTTCAAGATAACCCACACCCACTTGCAAAGTAGAAGTTGTGTTGCTAGGCAACAGTTTTAAATTGAATGACGTGTTTATAACCAATAGAAAGAGCAGATTTTGCAGAATCTTTCCTGCAAATTATATTCTACCTACTGCAATGTTACAGTTGACTGTGTGGACGTACAATTCCTAAGTGTATTGTTGGACATCATTGTCCCTAGCACTTAGCTGTTTTTTCTAGTCTTATACATGTTTGTTTCATAGACAGTTAAATTGCATTTAGGATTTACTTTTATATTTTAGTCAATTATGTATTATTTGTGTTTTAAAATGATTTAATGATTTTTTAAATTTATTCTATGCTTTGCATTGCTGAACCAGCTTTCATATAGTTAGTGAGAACAAACAAAATTATACCAGAGGCTAAAACCGTCTCTGCTGATGTTAAGGTTATACTGTCCATGGGTACCTGTTGATGTGTGTTGACATAAATAATCAAAGATAAAGAACATGAAAGGAAGATAAAACATTAAAAACTATAAGTAAAAAGGTAGAGACGTGAAATTACGTATATGACTCAAAGATATTGTAAGATTATTCAACAAATAGATAAAAGATTTGTATATATTTCCATTTCTTAATTTTAAACACTTCATTGCACTGTACATTGATGATATAGCTAGAGTTAGTGATGTAGAGAAATATGCAAATATATATATTTATATATATTTACTTTAAAAAACTTTTGAAATTCACTTAGGAGGATCTAGAGATTATGCAAGTGAAATGTGAAAACTGTAAGATAAAAAATAGTATTTTTATACCTAACATGAAAATAACCGTGCAGGTGAACTATTCAGAGACCATGTGCAAATAACTACATTAAATAATGAATTTTTAGTAGCAATAGCAGAAAAAATCTAAATTAAATATTTTATTTTCCTGAAACTATGTACTTTTAAGAAAGTTCTTGTCATATTTCATCCACTAGTTTCCTTTTTGGAAAAAAATTTCATGAGTTAAGTAACCTACTAGCAATTTTTGTATATCATCCTAAGAGTTAAAAAAAGATCCCAAACTATCAATAAAATTTCACAGTACATTTGTCTCAATGAGAATTGAAATTTACTGGATGCCTTTAAAAAGGTTATCCAAATATTCAGCCTGAAATGCCTCATTTGCCATGATAAGCACTTGGTAAAGAACTAAGAATCCAAACAGATGTAGAGATGTTGTTCAGTGTAAAACTGTGGAGGTAAAGCTTTGTATATTAGAAGTCTGTGATGAAAGATGAGTTGACCTGCCAGTAATATTTCAAATGAAGCTTTGCTTGAAACTGTCTTTATCTCTTTATTTTTGTATCTTTTGCTGCCAACATTTGTTATAAGAAGCATCTTTTTTCAAATCCTTGTTTGAAATGTTGCCATGCTCTCTTCCCACTCAGTACTTTTGATTATATTTTAATGTGTCAAAAAACATTCCATTGTAATTATCTTCTGGCTCGTAAAATAATAATGCAACCTGGAGCACAGATTTAGACCGATTGCTTTACGCTTTCTTACTGTTGGGAGAATTTTACAGTCAGTTATTCTTAACTAGAATTTGTTTTTTACTGGCAAAATGAAAAATCTTTGACTTGGGACTGGTCATAAAAAATATTTTCCTCTTTATTTCACTATTGCCATGCTTTATAAGTATAAAGATTAAAGTATCTTTAATATCAGTGTTCTGTAATGTAATATTATGCATAAACACCTATTATTTCATACTATTTAATTTACTTGAATACACCTAAGTAAATATTCTACATACTAAAATTTCTATTTCTCCTTACAACACCACTTACAAGTAGAATTTGATGTTCTTGTTCTGTTGTCCTGGAACCATAAGTACAGTATTTCCATACTAATCTATTTATGATCAAATTCAACCATGCCAACTGGACACCCACCATTACCTCAATTAGGACAGGAAAGAGAAGCCATTACAACTTTATTTGTATGCATGTTATGCTTTTCTTAGTTGACAACCCGACTAAGATATTTACGTCCATAATTGATATTAACTTGAGTTATAATTTGCTTAGCCTGTTTAATGTCTGATATTTTTCTTCATACATACCTTAAGTAACAGGTAATACTAATTTGACAGTGTGTTAGCCAATAATAAAGTATGTATTAAAGCATTCTTGAATAAATGAGGTACTGGTATATACTATATAGGAATTATTTTCTTGTTTGAAATATTGTAGCCCCCCAGTGGCACAGCGGTATGTCTGCGGACTTACAACGCTAGTAACCGGGTTTTGATACCCGCGGTGGGCAGAGCACAGGTAGCCCATTGTGTAGCTTTATGCATAATTACAAACAAACAACTAAATAGTGTACAATATTTAATGTAAAATTATAGTCAGACTGTAGTGAATAGCACAGTCAGTGCACTTGAGCCTGTAGGAAATAGTCAGTAACAGTATATAGTAAAATGTTAAAAAAAAACAACACAAATTTGCCAAAGTCTTGTTCACATCTGCTAACATCCCTTACAATCTGTATTACATGTATATATATATAATTAGGATTTTTGGCCTGTATTTCAATATTTATAATTACAGATTTTGCACTCATAAGTGTAGTGACATTTTCTATTTTAGAAGTAGTTATTAATGACCTTTAATGATAATCAGAACTTTCATTTATGACATTATTACAATAAACACTGCTTATCTTTACTTGTTTACTTATATTGTAATATTTCATTTTGTATTGATTTATCACATTATTACCTTCAGCTTACCCAGTCTTCTGAGACGATTTCTGTAGGCTTAATGCTGCTACAGACTGCTTCAGAGGAATTGGCATGCCCTCGAGAGGATCTTAGTGTTTCACGAAAGGAAGAACTTCAGCGACTTTTACTGGAACAAGTGCCAACTGTGCTTAGCATTATAACAAGTACGTTAAAAAGTACTGGTGATCACTGTGTAGCAGCAGTCAGTTTTGCAACTAATTTATTGTGTGCAGTTGTTTAAATGTTTCGCGTACAATTTTGAATAATGGAAATCATTAATATTTTTGAGAATTGTCAATTTATTTTAATATTTTGAATACACACATATATATAACCAGTGTATGTAGATGATTTCTAAGCTCTTCATATTTACTTTGTCAATACATTTAAAAATTAAGTGGTACACTTTAAATCTGATTTGTTATTGATGGTTTTTGAACACTAACTTTACAGATATTTTAGACTCGGTACTTGAGAAACACCGACACCTAGTCACGGCTACTCCACCACCTTCTCCCACTCACGGACAGTCAGCAGATTCAAGTCAATCATTATTTAGTACTTCTCCTCTTCATACAGGTAATGTGAAATGTATATTCAAGTTTATCTCTCAAACTCATTCAACTTTAATGTAGAACTATACTTGAATAAGCTTTGTTTTGTGTAAATATTTTTTGAGAAGGATGATTACCAATTTTAAACAGAAGGAACCTAAGCTTATTCCTAAAAAATGCTGTATTTATCATGACACTGAGTACATAATTGAAAATGGCATATGTTGTGGTTTTACTTACTGGTTTTTAGTTAATTATTTTGTTTACCATAAGTGACTTAAAGATTCATTGCTTGTTTTATTGTTGGTGCTGGACTAGCACTGTTGTATAGTTAAAACCTATAAACCTCATGATATCTAGGAGCAGAAAAATAAATTAAATTGAAATGAATATAATTTAAGTTGAAGTAGCTGGGAAGAGCTCACTACCTGTAGTAAAGCATGATGAGATTTTTGTTACATCTGTAGTTGGCAGTGTTTTCATTTATAACATACAAACAATGCACAAAACACATGTTTCGAATTACACAAGGAGCTTCAAAAACCGTAGAAGAGTTTTTACTTTATGACCAGTGTAACAAGTATAAAAAAAAAAGTGTAAAGTAAAATTTTAGGAGTTACAGTTAAGTTTTTTTTTAATTTATATTTTATGACTACAGATTTTTATTTCCTTCATTATAAAGAAGTTGTGATGTTCTGTTATTTGGGATAATTTCTTTATAGATGTTTTTAATAACTTAAAAACAATATCAGTGAACAAGATAATATTGGGCTTGTTTTACGTTATTCAATATTTAATTGTACCAATAAATATAATGTTACAATTTTATAAGGAAAAAAAAATGCTAAGCTTAAAATATTTACCTATAGTTTCTTTATGTTTAAATGATTTTTGTCAAGCTAAAAAATTTAGTCTTAAAAATGAGTATTGAACTTTTCTAAACCAATGCTGAAGAGATTTAAAGTTTACATACATATTCAATGGATAACAGAACAGAGTACAAATTTATGATGATAAAAAAGTGGGTTAAGTGAATATTGATAATTTAAAAACCTTTCAGAACTAGACTAACTGCTTCATAACTGTCGAACTGTGGATGGTGAATGGAACTAGTTAGATTGATTGTTTTTTGTTTCTTTATACATGTAGAAATGTGTCTGAAGTAACTGTGACCCATTATCATAACATGTTTTTTTTTTTTAGGTAGTTTGCTGAGCAGTATGTTCAAGTCCCTCTCTGACAAGAGTCCTTTTCAGTCTTTGCCTCCTCTGGATTTAGAATCTCATCAGCTGTGTGTACAAGGACTTAACTGCTTGGCTCACTTTCTCAGCTGGATACCTTTATCTTATTATATCACATCCTCATTACTGACAACTATTTTCCACTTTGCCAGCTTTGGATGTGATCCAAGTTTGCCACTACCTGAGGTATGAAATTTAGCCCCCTCCCCACTTTCTTGCTCTGCTCAGCTATATCTTTTAAGATTTTGTTGTTTTAGAGTTGTAGGTAATGTAGCGACTTGTTTCTGCATAGAGCATTATTTTCTGTAAAATGGAACATTCTGTTTGATGTGGTTTAATATCATTAACTCAGTTCATAATTAAACAAATATTCACTTGAAGATGAATTTGAAACCATAAAAGATATAAATTTAATTTTTCATGAAAGATATGAAAATTGATATATATTTAAGATTGGCATGTTGATTTTCCCTTGTGTTGATTTTTCTTATTTATAGAAATTATATTAAATTGAAGAAAGATGAATTTGTCAATAATTATTTTTTTTTCATGTTTTATACATGCATGCTAGAAAAATTATAGGTTTAAATTAAAAAGTTGAAACGTTCTGTTTTATGTAATGTAAATTGTTCTGTCAAACTACTGCTTCTCTTGTAATGTTTCTTAAGTATGATTATTTTAATCATATCTAATACGTTTTTAGATGTGTAATAGTTTTGTATAATTTATTTCAGCACATGAATTCAGATGCTGGAACCTATTTCCCTCGTCATACTACTAACAAATCTACTCTAGGTATCTTGGCTATGGGTTGTATTAATGAAATAATGTCTAAGAACTGCGTCCCAGCAGACTTTGAAGATTTCTTGCTCCAGATGTTTCAAAATACCTTTCATATTCTTCAGCGATTAACCAAAGATATTGCTGATACAACTCCAGCTAATGTAGGAAGTGCTGGTAATAACAGACTTTCGCAACTGGATGAAAAGTAAGGTTTATTTATCTTTCTCCGTTGTACATTATGATGTTGTTATTGCACATGTTTCTCTTGATTTTTGGTGCATGATACATTAAAGCTAACCTTTTTGGTCACCTGTTGATGTTTCCATATTATGTCAAAACACTACAAACAATATTTGTAACTCCCTCTGGTGCTTTGAAGATATATGATCACTTTATCATATTTTTACAAATATGATGCCTTTAACTCTTTTACCTTGGGCTGATGCAATTTCTAGCACTTAGACTAGGGGAAGGACATTTATGCAAAAACATACATAAAAAGGAAATTTTTTTCTAAGTAACAAAATTGAGAAGGAACAATGTGACTTGTATGATTTAAAAACATCGTAATTTCAATGATATGTTATTATGAACATCTAAACTTTTAATAAAAATTGAGTGTTTATGTAATCTACAGAGATGAAAGTCTTCCGGATATATCCGGAA